CACTGAAACTCCTTCCTCCTCCCCCACCCACAGAGGTTCTGTCCTGGAGTCCTGCCTCCCCTCACCTGAACCTCCTTCCTCCCTGCCTCCACCACCCCTAGTGTCCTCTCCCTGGAAGAAACAGCAGAGGTCAGGTGGCAACGCACTGCGCGCCGGGGCATCTGTGCAGCAGCCGTCCTAGCCACAGGATGGCCTGGGGCTGGAGACTGAAGTGGCCCCAGGCCACGGGGAAGCACGGGCCCTGACCCTCACCCCACTCGCCTCTGCTCCAAGCAACTAAGCTCTGGTTTCCTCCCTGGTGAGTGTTGGTGCTGACACCACAGCTGAGGCTTCGGGGCATCACTGGGTGGGGCAAGCCTTGCTTGGGTCCGAGGAAGGCCCAGCGCACTGGCAGCCTGACTGTGCCAGGGCCCCTCCTCTGTCCACCTTTCGGTTCCCCTCAGCTCACCCAGGGGCATTTGGATGATGCAAGGGTCACCCGCACCCCCAATGCACCTTCTCAGATGCAGGCCGCTAAACCACACACTCCTGCACCTGTCTCCTGGGCACCAGATCCCTCTGTGCAGCCCAGATGATCAACTATGGATCCTGGGGGACTCCGTTCTTGGCCTGAATAGCACCTGACCACCCTGGCCCACGGCATGTTTGTCAGTGCCTCATTCTCGTGGCCACGACTGTACCACGTTCACCCCAGCACTCACAGGGCTAAGCACAAAGGGCCTTCAGGCCAGATCTGGCCAAGGATGCTTCCGTTTTGCCTGCAGAGTATGTGAATAATTAATTTGTTGCCATTAGGAGGTTTCATACAAAAATCCGGATTCCCCAGATTCTCTGGGAACTTCTAAAGACAAGCACCAGCGTCCATGCTCCTGCACAGCGACAACTGTAGACTGAGGAGGGGCCGCCCTTAGACAGATATGCCCCCTCCCCCATGCCCCTCCTTTCTCACCGGCGCTGCCTCTGTGTCCTCACTGATGTGGCCCACCTGGTCTCTGTAGACAGCGGAGTTAGCCGCTCCTGCCGGTGACTTGGGAATGGAAGTGACCATCGCCGCCAGCCCCAGGTATCATGTACGTGCTTGTGGCAAAGGCGGCATCTGGGTCTTGCCAGGCGAGCAGCATAGAGAAGGCCCAGAGAGGCTCGCCCCGGCCAGCGGGTCTGTTGATAGCCTGGCTCTTCCGTGGGGGCCGGGAGCAGGAGGCTTGGTTGATTCCGCTGCAATCAGTCCTTGTCTGGGCTACCCTCTCCGATGGAAACAGGTGACCGTGTGGTGTTTGTGCAAGAAGGGAGGAGGGTGGGCCCCGGCTCGACTGAACCACGGCCAGGCATCGAGGAAAGCACTCTGACCTCCTCGTTCAAGCCTTCTAACCACTGTCACCAGGAAGCCGGCCCAGATAGCCGACAACAAAAGGCGTGGTGCAGGCGGCGGGAGGGCTGGTGCAGGTGCGGCCAAGTGCCCAGCGTGCGGGTGCAAGGCTGGGCCAGGAGGGCTGGCGCCGGCACGAGGAAGAACAGCGGTGGCCACCTACACTGGGGCTGCGTGGGAAGCCAAGGAAACGGCTGTGACTTGCGGCTCCTGCTTTGGGCGGGACACCTTACTTCAGTGTGGAGCAGGAGCCGGGGAAGGACGCCCTCCGCCCCCCCGCTGCCATCCAATGTGGATATGAAACTGACCCTAAGGAAAAAGCAAAAGCCCCAGGCCCAGGCTCCCACCATCAGACGATTTTCAACACTGGATGTTCCCCCGGAACTCCAGCATGAGAAAACGATGGCAGGCCCCATGGGCTGGCCTGGTGATGGGGCTGCAGGAGCCCGGCCAGGGGCCTGCAGCTCCCCCGTGGAGCTCCACAGCCTTCAGCACCGGTACCTTCAGAGAGCAGAACAAGCCACCCCAAGACAGAGTTCTCGCGCAGGCGAGGCCGTGCTCCTGGAGAGATGACAGTTCCACTCCCTGTTGCCACATTTTTAACTATTTATTGAACGAGGCAGTAATAGACAGAATGGAAAACAACACGGAATCCATGCTCTGCTACGGGGTTTGCTTTTTTCTTCTTCTTGGCAATTTCTCAAACTATGAGGAGGTTATTTCACCATAAAGGAACACGGACTTTAAAGCCCCTGGACAGCTTCACAATGACGATAAAAAATAATAATTAAAAAAATAACAAATTGTAGAACTAGGACTATTTATATGTAAATTTCCCTTCCCTCCCCCCATTACGTACAGAAAAGAACATACAAAGAACATTGGGTAGTTTTATATAAAACAAGCAAATACAAGAATCTGAAACTTTTCTCAAAGGCTGAGCAAGACATGAGGAATCTTTTAATGTCGCATTAAAAAACCACATTAAATACACTATCACACACGGGGGCCAGGAGGAGGAAAAGAGCTGTCCCTGTACTCAGGAGCAGGGGTCTGGCCATGGAGACATGCCTGGGCTGAGGCCCCAGTGGGTGCCCCAGGCTACCAGATACAGGCCTGGTGGGTCCCTTGTGAAGAGGGCCTGAGCCGGCAGTCCAGAAACACCTGAGTCCTTTTCCACATACCCCACTGTGAGAGCCACCTTCCCCGAGCCAGGCCACCCCTCCGCCCCACAAGTACTAATCAGGCCAGGCCCTGTTCTCACGAGGCCAAGCACAGTCAGGGCGCTATGGCCACACCCAGGCTCTTCCTCTCTGTTGTAGCGTCTCCTCTGTCCAGCTCCCACCAGCTGGAGAAGCCTGCTCCCAGTCATACCCTGGCCTAAGAGGACTGCTCTCCTTCATCTCCCTTCCAACCTCTCCTGCCCCCTCCCATTCTCCCCTACCCACAAGCACACGCACGCACGCACGCACCCACTAGCTTGCTCACGCACGCGCACAGCCATGAGCCACTCACACACGCGCTCCTCAGACCCTTAATACTTCTGTTACCTTCAGTTCATATACACGACCAGTTCAGGACTGACCTTAGAACCAGACCAACATTTTAATGGTCATGAGATCAAGAGGCATCCTGGGAAGGGGAGGAGATGGGGGGCTGAGGAGACCCTCTTGTCCCTGCCTAGAGCTTCCAGGACATTCCTCTCCTGTGGCAAGGTCAGCACCTGGGCCAGCCCGAGGGGCATCTCAGCGGGCAGGCTTCGCAGCCCCGGCCTGGCAAGCACACGCCCACACCGGCCATTCTGGAGCCCCCTTCCCCAGGCAAGTCCAACAGGGAGTTCCAGGTGGCCACTGGAGGCAGCTTTGGTGAAGGGCATGGTCACCTCTGCCTGAGTTTGTCAGTAGCTCAACGTATGACCCTGGTATGAACAAAAGCTGGGAGACTGTGTCTGGCCACGTACCCTACCACCCACTAAACTGGGTGAATTACTGTTTCCACAGCTCACCTTGATTTCATACAGATAATTCCATGCGGGTTTCATACAAATATATGTATATATATATATACTTTACATATATGTAAATGTGTATGTCCATATGTACACATAGACATATATTCACACTCACACATACACACACATAAGTATACACACACGTTTCCGCAGAAAGGAGTCCTGCCACAATTTGGCTTTTTTGGACAGTGAAATTGACAATGCAGTTTCTCACTCCACCAATCCCGGAAAATCAAGAGTGGTGCTTTAAAAATGCAATTCCAAAATCCGCTGCCTTTCTTCCTTTTAAAAAAAAAAGGTTAACAAAACTTTTCTTCCAAAGTCAAGAGACTTAATTTCATTTGATTGCACCTCTGCAAACGTGTAAAAAATGTTGAAGTAGACTAGAAAACAATGCCATGAGATGGCCAGGGTCACTGTTCCAACGTCACCACCTCCACCGCCTGGCCGTCCATGGTGACCGCGCTGTCCGATATCCTGGTGGTCACGGGTGCCATGGCCACCTGCACTGGCCCGTTGCCCTGGGCGAGGCTCGTCACCACCGTCTGGTACATGCTCACGGGGATCTGGACCAGGCCTGGGGAGACAAAGGGAAGAGGGTTGGCTGGGAGCATGCCAGGTCCCGCTGCTGGCTGGATGGGCTGCCGGCCCCTACCTGTGGGTCCCACTGTCTGCCGGCCCCAGGTGGTCATGTGCCCACTGCCCAGGCACAGGTAAGTCTCATTCCTCCCCCATTTTAATGTTTTAATTAATTGATTTTTAAACTTTATCATTAACACATATTCGAGGGTTACAATGTGATGTTTCAATGCACATGCACATTGTATAAAGATCGAATCAGGGCAATTACCATATTTCTTTGTGATGACAACATTCAAAACCTTCTTTTCTAGCTATCTTGAAATACACACTACAAGGTTCTTAGCTATAGTCACCCTGCTGCTATGAAACAGAACACCCCAACTTACTCTTCCTGTCTACCCGGAACTGTGTAACTGCTGACCAAGCTCGCCTGGTCTCCCTCCCGCTGTCCCTCCCCAGCTTCCAGTAATTACTCTTCTACTCTCTACTTCTATGAAACTGACTTTTCTCTCTTTATTTTTTAAAGAGACACCCAGGCTAGAGAGCAGTGATGTAATCACAGTTCACTGCAGTCTTGATCTCCTGACCTCAATCCTCCTGTCTCGGCCTCCTGAATAGCTGGGATCCTAGGTGCAAGCCACCACATTCAGTCATTTTAATTTTTTAAAACAGACTATCTGGAAAGATAAGTTTGGAGAAACTGTGGAAACGCTGCAGGGCGGGGCCTCCCAGCCTGCCCAGAGACGATCCCACCTGCCTTTCCTCCCTGTCCTTCAACCCAGCACTGTCTTTGTCCCTTCCCTCAGAGTCAAGCTTATTTTTAAAAAATCTCAGGTCGCTGGTATCCTGATTTTTATATTTCACAGACCAGTAAAATTTAAAAACACATTCTCGGGTCACCTACCCCCTAGTATCACCTACCCCCTAGTAGAAAGGACAGCTTAACACCAACAAAGGAAGAAGCACGTGACCTCAGACAAGGGTCGTCCTCCCCAAAAAGGGAAGTGGATGGCTTTATGGATGGTCGAGGCAGCGGAGATGCACGCGTCAACCTTCTCTTCTCCCGAAGCCAGGATTACCCTGAGCAGGAGAAGGGCATGGAGGAGGGGCCGGCACATCTTGCGGAAGATGTAACGCAAGCTGAGAGGAAGCTGGGACTCCGACGCCCCCAGCTTGGAGCATGGAAGGAAGCTGAGAGCATGAACTGGTAGGAAGTTTGAGATCAACTGGGTAGTCCAGTAGACCCCCACCCCCGGAGCCAGGCACACGGCTCCATGGACAGGAAAGCTAAGGTGCATCACTCACAGATAAATGATCTGAAAGGTCCCCAGAAACGACCGACTGTGACATGTGTCAGGTGGTGGCATGCAGGAGACAGTGGACAATCTGGCCTGTGCCTGAATCCTAGCCCCGAGGCCCACAGGCCACCTGGCCCTGTCCCAGCACACCCTGGTTGGCAGCGTTGTAACGTCTCACTCGTAAGGATCACAGGGGTGTACGGGGTAGCAGAGGCAATGTGAGGAGAAGGAAACAACAACAACAAAAATGCTCCTGACTCTGGCATCCTCAGGTAAGATATTTAGAGCATAAAAGTGGGACACCATACCCGGCTTGTAATCCCAGCTACTTGGAGGAGCGTGTGAGGCCAGGAGCTTGAGGCTGTAGTGCACTATGATTATACCTGAAAACAGTCAGTGCACTCCAGTCTGGGCAACACAGTCACTGCTCAACTTCTTAAAGGAAAAAAAGCAAGCATGGGCGGGGGAAGGATGCTATTCAAAAGGAGTATGAGAACATTTTATATAAAAAGTCCAGTAGAAAAACATTCAAAACAAGATCAGAAGATCAAGTCAACAAAATCCTCCAGGAAGTAGAAAAGACTAGAAGATAGGGAGCAGGAGAAAAAATATGAGATTAAAGAGGCCCAGCCTCTAATAAATACAATAGAAAAAGTGGGAAGAAGGACATTATCGACAGATAAGTATGTTTTCTAGAACTGAAGAACGTGAGCTTTAGGATGAAAAGGCCCACTTCATGCCCAGCACAACAGAGAAAAAAAGACACAGACACGAAGATACATCTTTGCAAATTTTCAGAACACCAGGAATAAAGCAAAGCCCCTAAGAGATTTCAGAGAGACAGAAGTCTTCCACAAAGAGTTGGACATGAGGGTAGTGCTGGGCTTCTCAACAGTAGGCCTGGAAGCAGGAAGCTGATGGGGCGATGCCTCCACATGTCTGAGGAAAGACGCTTTGAGTCTGGATGTCTATGCCCAATCATGAAACGATGCCCTGATGACCAGGCGTGCCGGCAGCAGGAAAGGGATCTCAGATGGGCCAGGGCGTAAGACACAGGCCACAGGCACACTTGCTCAGGAAGCATCCACAGTCGCACTCCAATAGCAAGAGGGACACTGAGATAGTCACTGCTGTGGCCCGGGGGACACAGTCCATGGCAGGGAACGGTGATGGCACTCGGGGAAGATGGGCTCAGGGCACACCGAGAGAAGGCCTGAGGGTGACGGAGAGCTCTCGGGAATCTGGCAGGGCCACATGGGAGACAGGACCCAGCTCGCTTTCTAGAACTTCTGGGGGTTATGAGTTAAAGGCACTAGTCCCCTCCCCCACCTCCCCAAAGCAAGTACTAACTTGAATGAAAAATAAAAGCTGCACCAAGAAGGAAATGTAAACGTGATAACTACAATAAACTTATCTTGGCAGTGAACAATATTTATATGGCTATAAGAATATAAACAAGTCATCAAAACTTTTGATACCAAGTTATCAAAGAATTGTGATAGATGGTGTCTCAACTCAAAAAATAATGATATAAGACTATTATTTAGAGTAGTTAAGGACACATATCAGAAAAAAGGACATGGGGTGCAGACTTTAAAAAGGCTGTCTTTGGCTAGGCACAGTGGCTTCCCCCTATATTCTCAGCATTTTGGGAGGCCAAGGAGGAAGGACTGCTTGAGCCCAGGAGTTCGAGATCACCCTGGGCAACATAGCAAAATCTCATTTCTACAAAAAATAAAAATATGGCCAGGCATGGTGTTGTGTGCCTCTAGAGGCTGAGGAGAGAAGAATGTTTGAGGTCAGATAGTCGAGGCTGTGGTGAGCCGTGATCATGCCACTGCACTCCAGCCTGTGCCACGCTGTGAGATCCCAACTCAAAAAAAAAAAAGAAATAAATAAAAGAATGTCTTTTGGTCCTTTCTTTTGGGTAGAGGTGCCAATTTTATTTTTTAAAAATTTTTAATTTTTATTTATTATTATTATTTTTTGAGTTGGAGTCTCACTCTTGTTGCCCAGGCTGGAGTGCGGTGGCACACTCACGGCCACCACAGCCACGAGCTGCTGGGCTCAGACGATCCTTCCACCTCAGCCTTTCAAGTAGCTGGAACTGCAAACACATGCCACCACGCCTGGCTAGTTTTTGTAATTTATTATAGAGACAAGGTCTCACAAGTTGCCCAGGCTGGTCTCAAACCCCCCAGGCTCAGGCAATCCTCTCGCCTCAACCTCCCCACGTGCTGGGATTACAGGCTGAACCACCGTGCCCAGCCAAGAGGCACCAATTTTAAAGACAGTTTTAAGACACTGCATTTTCTGCTTACAGTAAAGTGCTTACACAGTGCAATGTTATTCCCCTTCCCTGTGCACATAGTCAAGTACTGATAAAGTCCAGCGATCTGCTATAACAGCTCAATTTTAGAACTGTCACAGAGTTTGTTACAAATGTGGGTTCTCCCGTGTGTCACTGCTGGAGCCTGTGCTATGGCCACACTCGGTTGGTTTAATCAACTTCTTCCATGGTTGGCCCGTAGGGAGGAGCTCTACCACCAGGGAAGCACCCCTCTATTCCATTTAAGTTTCTTTAATTTATATTTATTATTTTAAATAAATATACAGTAGATACGGAGTCTTGCTATGTTGCCTAGGCAGGTCTTGAACTCCTGGCCTCAAGCAATGTACCCACCTCAGCCTCAGTGCTGGGGTTACAGGTGTGGGCCACTGTACCTGGTCATAAACAGCTCACCCCACCATAGACTCTTTTGGCATTTAAATCACATGCTACTTTGATGAAAATTAAAAATTAATCTTAAAAAAGGATGTGAGAATATTTTCAAATGCAAAAAAAAAAAAACAACCTAGATCATATTTCCCAATGTTAAATTGTATGCAGCTATTTTCTAGGAGTATGTTTTGCCAGCACAGAAAAAGGGAGAAGCTTTTGATGATGCAACATGAAATGAGATGATGTTTTGTTTTGGGGATGTCATCGTTACAAACTCTGGGGAACCCTAATAGAGGTGGAAGGCACGGCCAGCAAAACTCACATGGGGGGCAGTCCACATGCACACGGGCTGGAAGCAGGCGGGCACCACTGGCTTCAGAGGCTGGGGGTTCAGTCTCCTTCAAGTGACACTCTGTGAACGGCTCTTCAGTGTCTCCGTCAACCCCTCTGTCCGTCCACTCCGTCATCCAAATCCTCTTTCCATAACATGTTGCTCCTTAACCCAAGCTTTCCTATCCCATGATGTTCAAAGGTTTCCCGAGCCTCAAATACAGTTCAGATGCTCTGCGTGATAGTCAAGGCCTCTCATGATTGGCCCCTCCCTCTCTCTGGTCTCTTCTCTGCACTCTCATAGGTGCCAGCACCCCAGGTACACCCCAGATACTGTTGGTTCTCCAATGCATTGGTCATGCGCCCACAACCAGGCCTTTGCTCAAGGTGTTCACTAGATCCGATCTTCTCATCTCTCCCTTCACCCCTTGAAACTCGCCTTGGCTGGCCCCTCGTGGGAGCTTGCCCATCCCGGCCCAGTCAACACTGGAGAAGACTCCTCTAGATTCTCACAGGCGAGGCAGCAGCAGATAATCTGGCTTGGGCCACTTAATGCAGGCATCAGGTCTTCCCGCTGCAAGGTCGGGCCTGGCTCTGGTATATTTCATTCCCCATAGCATGAAGTCCAAGTTGGCACCAGCACAG